GCCAATCACCTGACCTGAATCCAACAGAAAATCTATGGAAAGAACTAAAGATCAGAGTTCATAGAATACTTTTTCCCTGTGCCATTCCACATTATTACAAATAACTTTATTTCTGGACATTTATGGTTTGATTTCTTTGTATGTATGGATCACTTGGGTTGTTACCAACATCTGGTGACAATTTCATGTCATTAGCACCTCTAGTAATATATTTACTGAGAAAATGGTGACGTGTTCAATACTTATTTTACTTGCTGTATTTCTGGACCCACTGCAGCAGTTTGTCATTGTGATCATTGGTTAGGAGTGGCTGAATGGAAGGTTTATGCAGAACTGCAAGTCTCTGGAGGATCCTTCACCTTGATGTTTGCAGGACTCTAGAGGCAGCAGCGTCTTCAAATATCTGTTTTCTGCTCTGTTTTACCAGCTGCTCTCTTAATCTGACGAATTTGTCTGTTAGAAACCTTCCTCACTGTGACATTATCTTGTCTTTATACTGAAGGGCAGCTGTGGCGGAGTTGTTAGGCGGAGGGTTGACGGTTCGATCCCCTGATCCAGCTGTCTCAGTTGCCGTGTCCTTGGGCACTACTGATGGTGGTCAGAGGGTCCGGCAGCCCCGCCTCTTTCAGTGTCCCCCATTGTATCTTACCACCATCAGTGTGTGAATGGGTGAATGCCTGTAGCTTTGGGGTCCTCATGGGGCTTGATAAAGCACTACATAAGTTCAGTCCATTCACCATCTGTATGAACCCACTGTGCTCTGAATCAGACACAAATCTCTTAACAGTACGATGATGGCGCTACAGTTTTAATGAAATATCAAAGGTTACCATACCTTGTCCGAGGCATTCGCAGAGATCAATTTTTCCCATACTGCGAGAAAATGGTGTTCTGCTTAATAATGTGGAACATCTTTAGTAGATTTTCCTTTAATTAGTCTCACTTTGCAAACTAATCATCGCAGGTGTTTGAGATTGATGTCATCGATCCAAAGAGCCCTGTGACACGACACCATCCATGAGTTTAATGGCGACCTCCGCTTGTGGCGTCACTCATTTAATTTACATACATTATCTGTCGCTGTCTCAAATGACACGACAACGTGTGTGGATTAGACAGAGACTCAGTGATTTTAGCATAACAGACGAGGACATTGCTAGAGCAAATTTCCACACAACTGACTTCAGGGAAGTTCATTTGAAACATTGTCTGGAGGTTGAAGGCCTGCGACAGACAGAATTATTAAAAACTGTGTTTTTACCGTTGTCTTATAGCTTAGCTTGTTGCTTCTAGTGTGTGCTTGTATGTATTTATCACTGGAGTCACCGCTTCTGCATTGT